CCAGCCCGTGCCGCAGGGAGGAGCTGCGGGCTCCCGCCGCGCCGGCCCGAGCGCGCCGCCGGCGCCATGCCCCGCATAGATGCCGACCTCAAGCTGGATTTCAAGGATGTCCTGCTCCGACCCAAGCGAAGCAGCCTCAAGAGCCGAGCCGAGGTGGGATCTTTTGCCCGGGTGGCGCGGGGGAGGTGGGTGCAAGGCGCTGGGATGTGCCGGCCTTGCCAGCTTTTCTGTGTGTCTGGAGATGGATGGGACGCTGACCCCCTTTGCCCTCCTCACCACTGTAGAAGGGGGAAGGGCAGCTGGTTCCCTGCCAGGATTGGAGGTGTCTTTAAGGGGTCCGACTCCGGCCTAAAATTCTAAATCTGTCCGGTCGGTGGGCGAGGGGAAGCACGCAATAGAACTAGACCCCAGAGGAGCGAGGACCAAGGGGCCAAGTGACTTAGAGAGGATGGCGGGCGGGCGGCGGTGGTACACAGAGCAGAGACTAAGTATAAAGGGAGAGGAGGTTTTGGGGCAGTGTCTCTCAGTGCGGGGAACTCTGGCTGCTTTAGTAACAGGTCCAGCAATGGAATTTTTTAAAAACGTCTGCAAAACAGGGAAATGCCGGGGCAAAAGTTCAGGGTTTACTTTCTGCGTTTCAGTGGATTTCTGGGAGTGGGGCTGCAGACCTGTGCCTGATGGCACCCACTTACTGGACCGCTTCAGTCCAGCCCAGCGTTTGGGAAGCTGGGAGCACTGGGGTGCGGGAGTAGGGGTGGAGGCGTTTTTTCTGGTCCTGCCTTAATGAGAGCAAAGCCTGCGGAACAGGTGGAGACCAGACTGGACATAGCCAGGGAGGGGGGCAGGAGGAAGGTCAAGCTGTGAAGGATAAACTAGTTGCACACAAAGGCAGCGTCCCCCGGAGTCGTGTATCCCAGTGACCGTGGCTTTGCGTGGCGGGCCGAGAGCTGGAGCCGAAGGGGAGGAGACTGCTGGGTCTGGCAGCGGGGGCTGGAGAAGTAAACAGCAGGAGACTGAGCCAGCCCGCTGCTCCGTCCGTCCCGCTCCCAGGACCGTAAATAAATCTCCTTGCGAGGCCCTGGGCTGCCTGCCGGTGCCCCCGCCTGCCTCCTAACTGCAGTGCCTGGGGCTGCCAGCTGAGGGCTTGTTTGAATTAAGGAAGCCTGCTGCTGCTTTAGCCGATGACCAGGCCCTCCCAACTCACCTTCTCAAGCAGGACGGTTGGCAGCTGGAGCCAGGACTGGAAGAGGCGAGGAATGATTAACCCTTATCCCCCTGGATTGCTCAACTCTGTTCTTGTCCTCTATTGTGTCCTTCCGGGTGCTAAAGAGTGGGGCAGACACTTAGAACAACAGTCAACAGTTGCGATGGCAGGCCTTGGTCTCCTGAAGTCTAAGCAGTAGCTGGTACCTGAGTCCAGGCCAAGATGAGATGTGGAGATTCTGGGCAGACTAGTAATTTGTTGGCCTCAATAGTCTAAATATTCACAGTTCGCTTAGTAGAGAGAAACTTACTTTAAGAAAAGTTATATGTTTAAAACAAGGATATATTATGTGTATTTTCTGAAGCAGGAAACCTCTTGTGAAGGTAAAACTCAGGATTATGTAATAAAATGAATTACTGTTTCCCAGGGAATCGTGTGACGTTGTCGTGCATCATTAGGTTTCATAATTTGGGCTGATTAAAAGTGTTAATGTCCCAGCTTCCCATGACACCTTGCAGTCTACACATAGCAGTGAGATCTGCTCTCTCACTACACATAGCAGTGAGATCTCTGTGTCCTTGAGAAGTGTTTTCATATTTCCACGTTTGCCAGTTCCCTGCCTGGAAACCTGAGTTAACTGGCGTTGCCTTTCCATTTGGTTCCCGTCATGGTTTAGCTGCCTGCTGGCCACCCGGTATCACCTGGCTGCCTGCTTCAGTGATGTTGAGGGATCTAGGTGGACCTCTAATCCCCTCTCAAGGTTTTCCCAGTTTGCTTGTGGATGCCTGAAATTTCTTGTAAGCAGATGAAAACTTTGCGTTGTATGACCAGACAGAATCCTAAATGTATGCCCCCAGGCAGAAGGATACCTGAGTGTAAATTTGAAACTAAATGGTAAATGACCGGACTTTGAGCCTAACCAGAGAGCAGATATGAGTGGTGCCAGGAGAGAAAACACTGGAGCCGGGAGAGAAAGCATACCCTGTGAAAGCAGAGTCTGGCTGGGAAGGGAGAGTTATGACAACTGACAAGATTTATCACTGCAGCAGTTTTGCTAAGAGCTGGGCCTGCTGCTGGATCATCAGGCAGTGAGCAGGAAATGCAGAGGAAGGCAGAGTGCCCTTCCACTCGGAGGTTTAGTGCTTCTGCAAGGGGATTTCCACAAGTGTCACATAAAATGAATTTGAGGCAAAGGCTACAGGTGGAGATGGCCCAGGTTGCCTTCCTGTGGTTGTAACAGATCGGCAGTCATCCTCACTGCCCATCCATTGCCCGTGCTCATGTCTTCACAAGGCTTTGGGCCACAAGAATAAAGGGCCACAGGGCTGTGTGGGAGCATTTGGGTAATCTTTTCAGAGGAAGTGACATGGTTGTCAATTGGGCAAGAACTTTGTCTTTCTTTGACACACTGGGGAGGTGACATCATCCCTTGACTCCCTGAGCATTCTCTTTCTCGGGACCCATTTCTTGTTCCAGTGTCCCACCCTAGTCCTTAAGCTAGGAAGATTTTTTTAAAAAACCCACAAACTTAACACAACCATAACTTTGGAAGTCAGACAGTGGAGGAATTTGCAGTGGAAAATTGGCCACTTACTTGTCCTGGGACAGAGAAGACATGACCTGACGAGCTATCAGTCTCCTTAAGACTCCTTAGTCGTTTTTTCACCAGTAGTCCAGTGACAAGTGGACCGGTTCTGGTGAGTTCTGGTCCAGCTTCAGTGGACAGCAGGCTGGCCCGAGGGGAATGAGACCATGGCAGAGTAGAGAGAATATCGGCTGGGAGAAAAGAGGCCTGGGTTCTTCCAAGCTCTGAGCTAGTTATTTTATTACCAGGGCTCTGTATTAGATTCCTGGGGCTGCCGTAACAAAGTACTGCAGACTGAGTGACTTACACAGAAATGCATTGTCTCGCAGTTCCTTCTGAGGGCTGTGAGGGAGTAGAATCTTCCAAGCCTCTCTCCTGCCTTCGGATTGTTTACACATAACCTTGGTGTTCCTTGGCTTGTAGATGCATCGTTCTGATCTCTGTCTTCCTCTTGAATCAGCATTCTCCCTTTCTGTGTGTCTCTGTCCAAATTTCCCCTTTTTATAAGAACACCAGTCATACTGGAATGGGGCCCACCCTAACGACCTCATCTTACCTTGATTATCCACAAAGACCCTATCTCCAAGTAAGGTCACATGCACAGGTACTGATGGTTGGTATTTCAATACCCTTTTGGGGAGACAGTTCAAACCGTAACAGCTTCTGTAAATTTTGCTCTGTAACATTGGAGGGTTTGATGAAGCTTGCTCTTAATGCATCAGAATCACCTGGGGAGACACTCCAAAATACACATGTGGTCTCCAACACAAAGGTTCTGATTTATTAAGTTTGGGGTGGCCTGAGCATGTGTATTTTGGGAGTCATTCCACCGTGATTCTGGTGTGCCCACAGACTGGCCACTGGAGCCTTTGCATTTGTGGAACCCCGTGGCTCTCTGGTACTGTGTGTGGCTGCATGCGCATCTCTGAATCCTGACACCTGATGGTGAAACTTCCAGGGGACCGAGCATGTTCAGAGGGCCGGGCTGGGGCCTACCACGCATTGACCTGAAAGGCTGGGGGCCAAAACAATCTCATCCTTACCCCTTAGCCAGACATTAATTTATTCTACCCTTTTTGAGCCACTAGGACCACAGAGGTGAAAGGCATTGCCTCTAGGCGTCGACTTACAGTCTACAGGTGAGACAGATAATGAATAATCTAATAAGAGAATTGCTTTAATTAGCACCAGCCATAGCTTTAGGGAAAAGAGGCCCCTGCCCCGGGCTCCACTTCTGCTCCCCTGTCCCCTGCTCACTGGGCAGAGCTGAGGGCTGGGCCTTTCCCTCTAGGCCATGCTCCAGATACTCAGGATCCTGGATTTCCTGCCCAAATGATTTCGAGCTGATTCCAAGGCCTGCACGGGGGGCCTCTTCCCCAGGTCTGTTTCCCAGGGGCCAGCCTTGCTGCCGATATGCTCGCCTCTAACCTCAGAGTGGCCAGGTGACCGCTGTTTGCGGGGATGGACGTGCGTGCGTGGAGCTTAGTGTGCAGACTGGGGTGTCCATGTGTGCCCAGAAGGATGTGCGTGGGAAGAGACAGGGGCCAGGGCTGGCTCCCATGGCACCATGTTCTGGTGCTTTCCAGGTCATTAATGAAATTGTGTTGTAAAGGTAGGAGGATAGAACAGAATTTGTGTAGCAGCTTCTTACACGTTGCTCATGACGTTGAGATGTTTAGAAACGTGGCAGGTGGGCCTCTTTGTATTTTGGGGCCCCCAAATGTTGAGCTGCAGGACTATGACGAAGGTATGTTTAAAGAACAGCAGAAACATGCATTATTGAGGCCGGAGAGGGGTGGCTTATTACTTTCTGTGCCCTTTCAAACCAGGCTTAGCAGAGAGAGTGTTTGGAGGTGCTATATTTGGTGCGTGGACCAGCTGTGGCAGGTTAAGTGCCAAGTTTTGTTTCTGGTGGCTAGAATATTTAAAATATTTCTCTCCGTGAACAACTGGTCGTCTCGGGTGTGTGTGTGTCTGTGTCCTTCCGTCTGCGTGGATAAGGTCGGGGAAGATATTTTATTTCTCGTTCCTAGGATTAAGGATCGCATAGGCTCCGCCGTGTGCAGGAGAGTAGAAGTGAGGGGAAGAGTTCATTGCCAAGGCTGACCTTTTCCATGGAGGACTGTTCTGCAGCGCCAAGAAAAACCCACTGTAGGCTCAGCTGGGTGCAGAGCGTGGCAGCCCTCCTCACGTTTCTTGGAAGGAGTATAAGTAATTTGAGACCAAGGAATTCCGATTGTTTTAAGCCTGCAAAGCCAAAATGTCAGCACGCCATTAGCAGCCCAGAAGGGTGCAACTGATAGTTCCCCTCAGTTACCTTTCAGGATGCAGATCGAACTTGCTTCACTGAAGTGTCCCTGAGGATGGTCATGAAGGAAGTGGGGAAAGGGATGAGCTGCCTTCCACAAGTGCTCTGCCAGTGACAGCATCTCATCTCCCCTCACTGATTGCTGTTTAAGGCCAGCGCCGCCATGTTGATGACCTCATTAGCCCAGGAAGCCTTCTGTGGTGGGGGAGCGCGAGGTGTGAAAAGGACCTGAGGTGCCCCCTGGTGTTCTGACATGTTGATGGCAAGGTGAAAGTTACCTCCAATGAAAAAATAGAAGAAACCTCTAGATAAATACTGGTAGGAAATGATTACCGCTGCTGTCCTCTGTCAGCCAGGATTAATGTAGGTCCAAATTCTTGCAGAAGCTTAAGATTTCCACCTGTGTTTGTCCTGCCAGTTCTCCTTGGGGAAGTGCCCCTTTGCAGGAGGGGCTGTATCCCTCAGGGTCCTGCTGAGGAAACGAACATTGCTGAATATTTAAAACAGGAAATTTAATACAAGGCATTGTGACACAGCTGAGACGCCGGATGGAATACCGAGGGACCCCAGAGATTGGCAGCAGACAACCCACTCCCAAAGGGGAGGTTCCCAAGGCCTGGGATCACTCTGGGAGCTGGAACCAACACCATGCAGGCCAAGGCAGAGGGGCTCTGGGAGAACTACTCTGACTACACCCAGGACCACCTCCCCCACTGTCTTCCCATGTCCCGCCAGTGACCCCATTGCCCAAACCCAGCCAGAAACCAGCCTGGGAAGTGGAGCCTGCCGGGGGGTGGGGGTGGGGGGCTTGGGATAAGAGCAGAACAGGGGAAGGATGAGCGCTGCATCTGTGCGCATACAGGCCTGGGATCTGCCCTGGGTCGAAGAAGTGATTTCGATTCTGCTAATAGCTCTTGGTCAGCGCCTGGCCCTACCCACTGCTTTTGCTGAGCCCGCCTTCCTGGCTGAGCTCTCGTTCTGGATTCCCTGTCGCTTGAGTTGGTCATAAATACCCTGAGGTTGGTAGAATTGGAGCTGTTTGCAAGTCAAAGGAACAAGTGGTTATGTGCACAGATATGGCTGCAATGTCCTTCCTCCTGGCTCTTTGAAAGATGCTGATAGTTACAAAATAGCTGAGAAGGTTGAAGGGCTAAGGGAGTTATGGGTTGCAGCTGACTGCAGGGTGAATTTGGATTGCCTGGTTCTCTCGGAAGGTGAGAATTAAAGGGGGGGCCTTGGTTGGCAGGGAAGAGTGGAGTGGATTTTCCCAGAAGGGGAACTGTCCCTCCAGTGCTTGGAAGTGGGGAAAGGTGACTTGTATGTGGGTGCTTTGGACTAGGATGAACCAGGCTGGGGCCAGAGGTGGCAGGCGGGTGGGAGAGGCTGTTGAAGCAGGGAGCTTTTGACTTGGAGGCTGGGCTTGATGGCAGAACATGCAGTGCCTTGTACTGGTGCTGGAGGGTGGTAAGGACCCCCTTACCGGTGGTAAGGACCGGTAAGGACCGGTTCAGTTTTTGCACCTGGATAACAACCCGTGCCTCCATTTCCTCAGGGACTCACCTGTCTTTGGAACCCCTGGCCCAACCCCTAAGAGAATCCAGGGACCGAGGGACATACACTTCCTTTGTGTCCTTCCACTTGCTGCAGACTCGAGAAGTTCTACCCAAATCACATAAAGAGACAAGGACTTCCTTTCCCTTTTGCAACAGGTGGATCTCGAGCGAAGCTTCACATTTCGGAACTCGAAGCAGACCTACTCGGGGATTCCCATCATTGTGGCCAACATGGACACCGTGGGGACGTTTGAGATGGCAGTGGTGATGTCACAGGTAGGACGGCGGGCTTTTTCCCTCTGAGCAGCACACTGGACAGGTGGTCAGTAGCCCACCCTGGACTTGCTCAGACACAGGGAAGAGGAGAAAAGTGAGACACTTCAGGACATTCGCTGTGGCCGAACTATTTGGTTCTGAGTCTCATTGTTGCTCCAGGCACTTCTTTTTCTCTCTTCCATCAGAAGGTGGATGGAGTCTGGACTTTGCCTTCAGGGAGATGGTCTAGACCTGCATGCATTTCTTTCTTGAAAATGCTCGTGATCCTTTTGGAAATTAGAGGCACAGAAAGAAGTTGGACATTGTGCCATATTATTCAGTTTGATGAGTGTTGTATTAATAGAAGAGTGACGTCACCTTTAAAATGAAGACAGAACCTCTTCGTCTGCCCTGTAGCATTTATTACATCATTATGGAAAAAACTTAGGTGCCAAGCACTGATTGTAATGTGTATGATGTGGTCACAGCTCACACAGGTGGGTTCCTTGTACAGATGAGGAAACCGAGGCAGAGAAGGAGAGGAGAGGTCACTTGGCTCAAGGCATTTAGGCAGGTAGTCACTGAGCCAAGATTTCAAACCCAGACTGACTCCAGAACAAGGGATTTGTCTCCCAACTTACACCGACAGATAACTAGTACAAGCTCAGGGTCCCTTGAACCAGCTGCTGTCTCATTGCCTGTAAAGGGAGTAGCTAGTGCCCTGGCTTTAGAAAAATAAAAACAAAGTTATTTGTGGGCAAAATCCTCATCTCGCACATCTGTGTCGGCATTTGTGTCCGAGGTTCGGTGCATTTATTCATCATAGATGTGAAATGTCTGCTTCTGATGCACAGAGTATGTGCATCTATTTCTGTAGCTAATGCCTGCCAAGTGAAAAGATAAATCCAATTAGTTGAAAGAGCTTCTTGCTGTGGACAGCATGTCTAACCTCAGGAGGTGCTGGGATTCATTATTAGCCCGTGATTAGAAGGGAGATTTTCAAACAAATTATGAAGTCACAAAATGGAGTGGGGGGTGGTCTGTCTGAGTCCAGGATCAGTTGCCTCGTCTGTCTGCCTTTAGCCCCCAGTGAGCTTTGGGCCAGAGGCTAATAAATTAATTGCAAAAGGAATTTGTATTTTTTTGCTCCCTATCTTTTCCTCCCTCTGCTGTGATCAGCCGTTGCTACTAATGAATTATGTGTTTGTGTAAAAATGCATGGAATCAGGGGGCAATAAATAGCCCTGTTGAATTCACATATCAGATTACTAGTCCATGAAGAACGGAGAACTTGCTGTGCTCTTCCCATTTGCACAGGAGACTCCCCATGAATGAGACCAGTATGCACTGAAATAGCTAATCATGTGTGGGTCCTACGAATCTTCCATTTCTGAGATCCACTGAGTTAGTGTCTTGCATTAATAAAGTTGTAGAATTTTAGGAGAGGGGACTGAGAGAAGTTAGGAGCGAGGCCCTGATACAGGAGGAGGAGCCTGGGTTCCGCATTCAGATTTGAATTTGATTCTGGCCTTTGCCCCTTTTTGGCCAAGCGATTGTTAAATTTCTTAAACTTAAGTTTCTTAAGCCCCATCTCTGCCCACGAAACTACTATTGCTATACAAAGTTCTGAGAAGCACATGAAATAACGTATGCAAAGCGCTTGCACAAAGTAGGTGTTCAGTAAACGCTTGCTGGGTTGATAGTCATAGATTTAGGATTATGATTTATGTAGTTCCCTCCCTCAAGAATACCAACTGCCTGATGGGTTTAGCTTTTAGCGGGAGATGTTTAGATTGTGACCCCAAAGAAAAGCTTTCAGGTAGAAGTTGAGGTTCTTTGGGGTTGACTAAGCATAACTTTGCTTTCAGGCTGCCCTGCTGATGGGCAGGGGACCAGGCCTCTGTGCTGCTCTTGGCCTCAGTCAAGTGTGGGCTGCCCAGGGCTCTGAGAATTCTCCCTTATTCCACCCCCCTGCCTCCTGGCATTGCCTCCTAAATCTTGAATGCTGTGTTGTCTGATCAGATTAGAGTGGAAAACACGGTTTTGTGATTTCCCTAGTTACACTTTCATCTGTTTGGGCCTCCTAGGGGCACATTCAAAGCAAATTAAGCATGAAGGGCTGGAACACCGGATGCTTTTGTATTGGTGGATCACCCTCGCCATATGGAGGAAGGGGGAGTGGAACTCCCTTAAATTCTCGTCCTAATGGTGCTGTTTTATTTCCTAGCACTCCATGCTTACAGCAATTCACAAGCATTACACCCTGGATGACTGGAAGCTCTTTGCTGCTAATCACCCAGAATGTCTGCAGGTATGACTCCACCCTGGTTATAAATTACATTTGTTGCAGGGGTAAGAAAACCTTTTTTTTTTCCATTTTTGTTTTATTTATTTTATTTTTTAAACATCTTTATTGGAGTATAATTGCTTTACAATGGTGTGTTAGTTTCTGCTTTATAACAGTGATTCAGCTATACGTATACACATATCCCCATATCTCCTCCTTCTTGCGTCTCCCACCCTCTCTATTCCATCCCTCTAGGTGGTCACAAAGCACCAAGCTGATCTCCCTGTGTTATGTGGCCATTAGCTATCTATTTTACATTTGGTAGTGTATATATGTCCATGTTACTCGGGAGAAAATCTTTAGGGTTGTCAAAAGGATTTGAATTGGCAGCAGATAGACACACAGAGTCCTAAGGAGAAACTGGGGGAAGGCAATAGTGGTCCCCCAGCCATTGATCATTGCCAGGAATTTGCCAAGGAAGCCTGTACTGTATTCTTTTTAAAAAACATTAGGATTTACCTGCAAGGAATATCTTTTTTCCCTTGAGAAGTGAAGTGTTCTGTCATGAGAACTTGCAGAGGACCTGGCAGTGTTTCCTTCCGGGGAATGGGTCTGTTCTAAACGTGCCTTTTGACCAGAAAAGATACCTAATTATAGCAAGTTGTTATAATTGGAGCTGAATATAATGGAGCAGAATAAACAGCATGCCCTCCAGGATGGCTTTAATCAAAAAGACAGATAATAAAAAGTGTTGGTGTGGATGTGGAGAAATTGGAATCCTCCTACATTGCTGGTGGGAATGTAAAATGGTGCAGCTGCTTTGGAAAACAGTTTGGCAGTTCCTCAGAAGGTTCAACATAAGAGTTCCCATATTACTTAGCAATTCTATTCCTAGTATAGACCCAACAGATATAGAACTATATGTTCACACAAAACCTTGTACACAGATGTTCACAGTAGCATCATTCATGATATCCAAAAGGTGGAAACAACCCAAATGTCCATCAACTGATGAATGAATAAACGAAATCTGGTATATCCATACAATGGAATATTCATCAGTGAAAGGGAATGAAATATTGATTCATGCTACAACATGGATGAATCTTAAACATTTTACCAAGTGAAAAAGCCAGACACAAAAGGCTGTGTACATGATGATGTTTACACGAAATGTCCAGAATAAGCAAACCTGTAGAGACAGAGACAGAAGGTAGATAAGTGGTTGCCTAAGGCTGTGGGATGAGAGGTTTGAGGGTGAGGGCTAAAGGGTGTGGGAATTTCTTTTTGAGGTGATGAAATGTTCTAAAATTGATTGTGGTGACAGTTGCACAACTCCAAAAATACTAAAACCATTGAATTGTGCACTTTCAAAGGTGAATTGTTTTTGACTATATGTCAGTAACACTGTTACTGAAAAAAAAAAAAAGAAGCAGTTTGAAAATAACAAAAGTCCCAGTAGAACACACCAGACTTTGATCCTGGCACACTTCAATGGTTCTACGTCAATGCCATAGAGGAATCTCTGCATTTAGATGCTTTTCTACATGGTGAGATCATCTGTGATTGGAAAATGACTTCATATTGTACTGCTTTTGAAGTTACACTGGCTTCTTTTTTTTCTGTGCCTTGACTGTGTGTGGATTTTGATTGGGGAGAAGGTGTTTCAGAGATAAAATAGTTCTGGCTCACTAGTGGGTCCTTCCTTTTTGCCATATTTTATTCTAATGGATTATCTCTTTCATCTTCTTCCCCTCTCTGGATGAAGTTTGGGGAGCATGAGTTTCCAGCAGTGCATTCATCAGAACCTTGGCTTTTTCATTACCAAGTGTCCTCATTTCACTTACTGCCCCACTCCCACCAAATTAGAGCTCATTAAAAAGGGAACATGGTACAAACTCAGTGGCACAGCGGGAAACTAACCAATCTTGAGTTTCACCTGCTAAACTTTAACAGAAATGAAGGAGAAAATAAAAATGGTAGCAGAACTCAGTGGGAGGGAAAGAACGTGTGGATTTGGGGCACAGGTCAGACTGTAAACAGGAGGAGTGAAAATTGGAGTGAATATGTATCACATTACCAGTCCGCTTACATTCAGTATCTGAGTTGTAGCTACACTGTTGTGATTTGGGGGGAATAACAAAGGATTTTAAGATATGTCCCTCGTCTGTGGCTTATAGTTTAGAGATATGAGTTAGAATATAAACATTATATAAATTTATAAAATATAAATATCTCATGAAAGGTGAGATGCTGACTCTGGCCACAATCCCATGGGTTAGTTTCGTTGAGGCATAAATTACTAAACTCCAAAGAGCAGGTTCTGAGTAGAGCAGCGGGGTGGGTTGGAGAGTGCCAGTGCTGAGGAGCTTGCGGGAGAGGGTGTCACGGAGGAGACTGTGCTGGCTTCAGGTGTAAGCACGTCCCAGTGCGGATGGGGAGGATCCTTTCGGGGCTCATTCATCCTCATACTTCGGGACATCTTGCCTCTAGAATGGAGACGCTAAGACTTGCAGCAACCCGTGCAGGTTACGATTTGCATGTTGTGACAACGTTGCATCGGGAGTGAAAAGGAAAGCAGGAAGGAGTTTTATCAGAGGGGTTTTAGACATCTTTCCCTCCTTGCTGCCGCCTAAGCGAGATGCTCAGGGTGGTGGCCACGGCTTTGACACGAGGAGCCTGAGCACACCGGCCTCCCTGGAGAATTTGCACCAGCAGCTCCACGGTTCCGAGTGCCACGTGGAGAGCTTGAGGAAATGGAACAAGAGCCAGGCGCGCGATTCTGTGGCTGAGGTCCAGGCCTCAGGATATGCGCGGTTTAATGGTGGGAAAGACGGCAGAGTCAGTTCCGGTAACTGAAGGAGTGAATCTCCTTTACCTCTGCTGCTGCATGTTTCTTGAGCCGGTCCACTGTGTGTCTGTTTGATCAGGGTGAACCTCAGAGGGTCACGGTGCTGTGCCCAGAACAGGCGCGTGGATGGAGGCAGGGTTACTGTTTGTGTCTTACGCCTCTTGGTTTGTTTGGTACAGCATATGGCCGTGAGTGCGGGCAGTGGGAAGAATGATCTGGAAAAGATGAGCAGCATCCTGGAAGCCGCGCCGCAGGTTAAGTTTATTTGCCTGGATGTGGCCAATGGATACTCGGAACATTTTGTGGAATTCGTGAAGCTTGTCCGGGCCAGGTTTCCAGAACACACCATTATGGTAGGTATGGTGGGACGACCTCCTCTGGATGGGGAAGCAGAGAAGACGTGCGTGGGGTGTCCGGGGAGCTGTGTTCTCCTCGTAGCTTTTGGTGCCTTCTTCTTAGCAGACTAG